GATTGCTACGTGTATGGAAAAAGTGCCACCATTGAGGTATCTGTATTAATCAACAAGTGACCTTTCAATTGTCATATTCATCCTAGCATTATTATATTATCACTAACAAAGAAATTGAAAATTCTTAGCCTTAAGGATCATGACGAGGCTCAAGGATTTCAACACAAGCAATTGCTTAAGAAACAATAAAATTCTAATGTTGGTAAAATCCTAAAAACAACCCATCTACCTATTGAAACACACAAAAATAAAATACAAAATTATGTAAAATAACAGAATGTTCATGTCACATCAACAACTTAATGATATTATTTAAGAAATTGACGGAATACGATAACACGAGATATAAAATGCAATACTTATGTGCATGTTCCTTATAATTAATATATAATATTTCTAATGTATCAATCGTTAACAGTCACCGTATCGGAAATTGCATTTGGGAAATTGAGTAAAGAACCCTATGAACCAAAATGAGCTGTGAGCCAGCCAATGATTAACAGCTGTATAAAGCACCTCAAACGCGTAGATCAAATTGACTAGACAGGAAACAATAGAAAGGGAAAGATAATTAGAGGGTTTTTTCCTTTTTCGTTTATTTGGTTTGGATATTGATAATTAGTGTTTTAGTGGGCAACCACATTTATACTGGTGGGAGAATGGACAATGCACGCGGCTGCTCGACCACGTAATTCTCCTTTTGTCACGGTGTCACCCATCTCGATAAGATCAGTATTTTTTTTTAATTCTCCCCTTTTTACTGTTTCACTTTTGTTCCGTTATGTTTTCACCTTCTTGCTTACCGCCATTTTGAATGGTGTGAAAATATCCACGCGCGGGTAAGTCGGTGCATCAGGCGTGGAAATTTCACATGGACGACACCGTATGGTTGTGGAAAATCATTTCTACTCGACACGCTGTGATAACTCGTGACACCCAAAAAAACTTTGGCTAAATTAAAAGGGCAGTCCTCGTATTTAAATTGTTTTCCACTTGGATCCCTATGACCGTAATTTTTTTATTTTTTTTCAATGGAGCGCATGTGGTTGGTTAGTAAAGATTGCAATTAAGGTTAAAATACAATTTTCATCGAGTAAAACATTATCCATGCCATTATTAAAACATTATCCATGCATTTAACTATAAGCTTTTTTGGGAGTGATTTTGGGAGGACCAGATCACTTATCATAAGGAGCATTTCTCACGTATTTGTCCATAAAATCACTCTTAAACGAGATGGAAAATTATGCAAATTGTGTCATCGATACATAACAATATAATTTTTTATTGGGTTTTTTTTTAACACTTAATTTAATATTCAATTTATAATTAGATTATGATAGGCTTGCTTCATGGCATAAATTTCAAAGCCGAAAAAGGGATCCACAATTGACATAGACTATAGAGAGAGCTACCAACAAACCAAAGACTATAGATAGAGCTACCAACAAACCAAGCTTAGTCAATTATTTGTGCAGCTTAATTAACAAGCCAAAATTATGTTCAAAGTTCAAACTTAACTGGAGCTCAATCAAACAATACATGCATGTGCGTCTTGGACTTGGTTGTTGACAAATTCAAGTAGCATTGGCCTTGCTTGGTTGATTAGTCTGCCTAAAGTTTATACTTAGGTCAAAGCCCATAATTAAGTTATATTCCTAATTGAATATGTTAATCAGCACATGAAAACTTTCTAGACATGTTACGAAGTCATGTTGAAAAAAAAAAATTAATAATAATTAGTAAAAGATAAATTATTTTCTAGTGTGATCGTAACATCATCATGCCGTGTTTAGAATTTTTATTTTATAAAATGTTGTAAATTTGTTATATAAAATGTTGTAATTTTATGAATGAGTAATTTTTATTTTAGGACGTTGAAGCTTATCCAGTTTCAGCGTTGGATGAAAGGGTAATTTTAGTGTGTAATTCTTTTGTGTTGTTTGGGCTTTGGCCCCTATTTTACCAAAAAAAGAGAGGGTAATTTTAGAATAAGAAGGCAGTGGCATAAGGATGTAATTAAGAGAAAGCATAGGTCCACCCTGGAGTTGCGCAATTCAATGCGGATAAAATCTAGGAGACAAAGATCTTTTCAATACCACTCTCTCTCTCTCTCTCTCTCTCTCTCTCTCTCTCAGAGCCAGTGAAGCTTTTTCCCTCATCCTACATTATCCTAATCCATTCCTGTTCCTATTTGGATTTGGACCCATTCCTACCGGCTTCCAGGCACGGCATTTTTCATAAATTCCATTCCATTCCAGCATGCCAAACTTTTCCAACCCTGTTTCTTCTCCTTCCTTCCTTCCTTCCTTCCTTCGATTTCTCATTCTCGTACGGGCTTTTCACACTCGGAGACCGATTCCTCCGTTTTGGACGAGTTACTTTGACATTTTATTTTCCACGTGGTGCACACTTGCTGCCTTGTGGTTGGTTCTCCTTGGGGCCCACTTCACCCCCCAACTAAGATATTTCCTCAGAACCTGAACCAGAGCCAGCCACCTGCTTAATCTTACGTGGAATATTTTGGATTCAATTGTGTGGATTTATGTTTTTTTTTTTTCTTTTTGAGAGAATTGTGTGGACATATGTTTATAATATGCATAGGTGTACTACTAACTAATTGCGGGGTCCTTAACCATTCACCTCTAACTTCTTTAATCTCATTAACTCATGTGGGGGAGGAGAAAGCCAACTTTAATCCGTGAATTCAAGGATAATCATGGATTGATTTAGAATTTCAAAATGAGGTAGGTTACTTTACGGTGGGATGTTGGGATACGTTAAATCTTAAAAAAATTATATTGATATTCTATTTTAATCTCATTTAAATTACAAGTAAGGATATTCGAACTTCTAGACAAAATAGGAATCACATCTTCACTCTAGCAAACTTGACTAAGTGTATGCAATATAGTCAAAGTTAAACAGTCATATGATTTGTCTATAGGAAAATATCGCTAAGTGAGTTAGACCAATTAACATAAGTTTGTCTCCCTAGCACTAGATTAAAGGCTTGTTTGGGAGTGCTTCTTCCTGAAGCGCTTATACCAGTATCACTTATGACATAAGTTTTTCTACAAAGAAGTAGTTTGTCATTTGGATATCACATTTTAAAGTGTTTTTCTAAAATATTATAATAAGCATAGGAAATAAAAATTCACATGATTCCAAAATAAAAACACGACTTAAAAAAAGTTGTGAAATATAAAGATAGTGATGGATTAATAGAAGCTTAAAGGTTTCCATGGGTGTTTTGGCGTCTATTGGCCATTTCGCAGGCAGTGTTTTGGTTTTAATATGAAAGAAAAAGAGAGAAAAAAAAGAAAGAAAGGGTATCTTGGCATTTTCAAAAAATTAAATATAGGTATTTTAGGTGTTTTAAAAGTTTCATTAAAGGGAGCCAAGTGCTTCCCTAATTTTTGTCTTACAACGCTTTTAAGAAGAAGCACCTCTTAAGTGCTTTTTCTAAAACCACTCAAAGTGTGTTTGGATCTCACCCAAAGTATTTTTGCAATTTTTGCAAAATACTATTTTTTTTAAATAGAAGCGCTTACGCTCATTTAGAATCACTTTTCGCTACTTCAAAAGCACTCCTAAACGAACCATAATTTAGAGTATTCATATAATTGATGAAAGAAAGAGAACATTCATAAACTAGATTTTGATACATTGATTCATAAGATTGAATAGGTCATTACAATGGACCATGACTCTATGAGAGAACATCCATATCTTTTTTCATTTATTGACGCTGAGAATATTCAGATTGAGAAGCAAATATATTTTAAAAAAAACACAACTATAAACAAATATTATCCGTAGCCGAAAAAGAAAAGACGGAAAGAAAAGATAGATTATCTCCAAAATAAATTGAATAAAACAACTGTATTATTGTATTGTATTGTAATATGGGAGAAGGAAGAGGATGGGGCCCGCGTTATCTGGTGGTCCCGGTGGCCGAGGAGTGTCGTGTCGTGTCGTGTCGAAGGGGAGGGAAGTGAATGCGTGTGGAGAAAGGGGGAGTGGGGGGGGGGGGGGTCTCCCTCTGCCTCGCAGTCCTTATCCGTTAAAAGACCGAAAAGTTGACAAACCAGTGGGTCCCACCGGAGCCCCGAGCCCCAAGCCCCCTGGTATCTTCCCTTTCCAATCCCAAATCTTATCCTCTCTTTCCGGCTGACGTTGCCCAACTCTGGACACCTTTCTTGCTGACGTTTTCCTCTTTATTTATTCCACGTTGTTAAAAAGAAGAAGAAGAAAGTGGCATTTGGAGGTAATTAAAGAGATTAGAACAATCAAACAAGACCAGCTCCAAGATAGGTATTGCTTCTCACAACAACTTATCTCAGTAACACTCTTTTTAAAAAAATAAAAAATAAAAAATTATTTATTTAAATTTTTATATATTTTAAAGGACTAGATAGGAGAGAGACTAACTTGGGGTTGGGGGTGGTGTTGGTGTTGGGGTGGACTTTGTTGGCTCGAGCATTGGGCTAGACAAAGTCAATGTGTTGGGCTAAATGACCCAACAGATTTTGACCTACATAAAAGTTTGAGGACTTCTAATAAATCTAGAAACAAGAAATCGAAAAAAGAAAAAGAAGGAAAAAAGGCACGTGTGTTGGCACGAACACGATTTATTAAGATTTAGAGTGGCTCAAGATATTCAAGATCCCTAGAATAGGTCATTCGGGCATGGCACGACAAAATTGTTAAACGAGTGGGAAATTAATTTATATAACCTAGATCATAAATGGATCGGATTGAAGCTAATTGAGTCCACACATTATGAAACGGGAATGGTTGTTAGGAAACAGATAAATGAAATGAACAAGGAAATAAAATGTAATTACCTTCTAGTGTTTTGACCTTGTCAAGTCTCCTCTCCATCCACCTAACTAGATCTGGATTATAGCCTTGTAGCAATAGCTACCTACCTATTTCATCGTTGACAACATCAACAACAAACAACAACAACAACAAAAAAGAAAGTAAATCATAACGCTCATAGAAAGGAATTAGGCTAAAGTAAAGCAAATGTTTTCCGACTTTTCTTCCTTTAATGGAAGAAGACTTGTAAAATTAATCCGACTTGAGGGATGTTTGGCTTGGTTTGCTGACCTACGGGTGTTTGATTCTTCATGGTAGTGATTGGTGGTTTGTCCATCTACAGTCATGAAGTTTCTCTTTGCTGGTGGCGGCTTGGAGTTTCTCTTTGGTTGTGGCAAACAAGTTTATGTGTTTTATTTTATGTATTTTATGTTTAATGTGGGCTTTATGCTGAATGTGGGCGTAATGCCTCTTTGTGGGCTATATGCCTTTTTGTTGGCTTTTGACGTTGCTTTTGTCCGACTTTGTTTGTACTGTTTTATGTCCTTTTAAGGATTTGCAATGAATTGAAATTTCGACCAAAAAACAAAACCTTTCCAAGTTGGAAAGTTCCTTCCATGACCACATCAAAAGCCCAAAATCTCAAAAAATCCAAAAGCCCAAAGCCCTCACTTGTTGTAACATAATAACAACATTAACCGTCTCTCATTCCTCAATAAACACCTGAGTTAATGAAACTCAAAAGCTCAAACTCTCATTACCAATGAGCTTTTAGCTGACATGGATTTTGGGGCAAACAAAACTCCAAGGAGCTCTTAATCTCAGCTTTGAGCTCCTCAGAGGACCCAAAACCCAGGTGGTGCAGCCATGCCAGGCCCTGGTCCGCACCTCATGTACGCCATGGGCACTGGCCTGGCTCTGACCACTCTCAGCAATGGCAGGTTCAGCCCCCACCACACCCTCTTCTACACCATCAACGCCTTCTTTGGCCCTGACATCGGATCCTTCTCTGAGTGGCTCGACTCCATCCTCGGCTTCGGCTTCGGCTCCAAGCTAGCCGACTTAATCCACCACCCCTTTTACTATGTTCTCTTTCCCGGTCTTCCTCTGTGTTTGCTCTACTCTTGGGTCTCTAGAGTTTTGCTTCAAAGACGGCTTCTTGATTCGTTTTCTCGGGTGAGTAAGTTGTATGTTTCTTCCCCTTTGTCTGGTTGCTGACACAATGTACGGAAATGGAAAGAGTTTTTGAACTTGTATCTTTTGGGGGTTTCTATTTTTGGAGTTTTGTCTGGACACTCATGAAATCATAAGAGCAGCTTAATAAGGAAGATGGGTTCTATTCATTGTTGTATTCCACCTGATATATATAGATAGTAGAAAATCAAGGTAATATGTGTTTAATTATAAGTTTAATAATTAAAATATCCTTTGTTTCCTTATTGGGATTCTGCATCTAATTTTGAATTGTGTAATTTATATGATCAAGCTAGTGTATAGTTAGTTTAGTGTAATGTGTTTGAGTTTATTAGCTGGAACCCGGAAGAAAAACCTGAAAAAGTGGTCATACACTTGATACGAGGGGAATTAGGTTGTCTTGTTAAGTGAGATTTGTTTTGGTTGTTAGGGTTATTTGTAGCAATGCTCCCTAAACTATACTCGGAGTTACATTTTGGTCACTCAACTCCAAAAATAGTTACAGTCTGTAACTATTTTTGGAGTTGAGTGACAAAAATGTAACTCCGAGTATAGTTAAGGGACCATTGCTACAAATAACCTTTATTTATTTATTTTTTCTATTTCGGTTTTATAAATATTTGGAATGAATTTCCAAGTTTACCAATGGATTTAACGGAAAAATAGATAGACTTGATGAAAGAGATTAGTAATGCAACACCATACATAATTGGGGGACCTCTGCAGCTATTTTTGGAGTAGAGTGACCAAAATGTAACTACGGGTATAGTTCAGGGACCATTGCTACAATTAATCCTTTAAATTATATGCTTTTAAGCTACTTCTTTATTGTAAAAGTATCATGAACATTGCGAAAACCAAAACTTTGTTTTGATCATGAAACATAGCACAACTATTACTGAATGCGGTTTCGTAATTTATTGTGTTTTATGTTTCAGGTGCCCCTTACTAGGAAGCAGTGCTGGTTCTTGGTGTCAGCTGGTTCTTTTTCACACTTTTTCCTTGACCACTTGTTTGAGGTAATATAGAGACGTTAATGAGCTATTCTGCTGCTCAACGTTCCTTTCCATGCTTGGTATTGTGGTATGCTAGCTAGACTCTTGTTTTAGAATTAGAAAAGGTAAGAATGATTTTTCTTTGAAGGTTGTTCAATGGAGAAGCATTGAGCTTGGGATGATTAAGGGATTGATATTGCCATAGAGTATGTTTAGAGTCGTAGTTTAACATCCACTAGATAGATATGAAATATATAGGATGAGTGGATGTTTAAGAGTTGGGCCTATATGCAAGAATAGGTATATATGAAGGCAAGTTCTTGTAGTTTTAGTTTTTGCATTTTTTCCCCACAGCATGTATTTTGGATATGAGATTTCTTTTTTGTGAGAGCTAAGAATGATCGAATTGATGGACCATGTACGCCCTCTAACCTTCACAGGAGAATGGGCATTCAAAAATGTATACTTGGATTTTGAGCACTGGTTGGTGGAAGGGCCGGGCACCGGTTAACCCAGATGCTGTTGTTGTAGTTGGCCTTTTATGCATTGTCTTAATCGGCGGCTTTATTTACATCAACAGGTGTTTATTTGAGGCACTCTACATTTTGTTTCTTATTTCCCTAGCATTTTGCAGGTCCTTGACATTTATGTTGATCGATAGTTTTGGCATGCAGGGTTAAGCCTCACAAGTCTATTAATAAGCAATCATATCAATCAGTGACACTGATTTCCATTGTAGCAATCCTGTATTGCTTGTGGTGTGCAAGCCAAATACACTGGGTTAATCCTCATCGGCCAGCAGTTGGTGAAGAGGCTGATCTTGGGGTTCTTGTGTTTCTAGCCATCTACTTCTTTCTTCCTCACCTTTTGTGTATATTGTCCATGCACCCTAGAGATCTTCAAGCAGAGCAACTTCCACTATAACAGTAACCATATTACTAAACAGAACATCCCACTTTTGCTGTCCAATATAGTCACGACTCACATCGAACGTTTTGGTCCTGTATGACACACAGATTCTCAGGTCTTGCCACGGCGGTTAGTTTTGTTACATAGCTTGCTACCTTCATGTGTTGGGTTTTTTCAAAATTTGTATCTTATTACTATCTTGTATATAGCTATACATATAGAATTTGCAAGAGGCTGTTGAGTGTAGTTGTACCTTGTTGTAAGCCACTGTGATGAAGCTTGAATTCCGTCATTTGTTTCTTTGGTTGATAGCCCTTTTGCATTAAATACTTATTGAAGAAGTGAGGATTTAAATTTTTGGATATTTGGTAAAACCGAAACCCCATGAATCTACAGAAGTGTATGGTTTTTCATTAGAATTACAGATCATACAAAGGGGGACAAAGAAATGGACCAATTTCAGTTTATTTTGGTGTCCAATTGAATTGAGATCGTGTTCGATTCAAAGCAGAACTAACAGTCAGATGCGCCTGCATCACAGACGATATACAGGAATTATCCTTGATTTCCAAGAGCCTTATCTACAAAACAAGGCACTTGAAAGGCAGCATTGTGCATCTGCAAGAGTGAAAACAGAGGAAAGCAAATCCATTAGGGACCCAATAAAGCAACCAAAACAACAGAGAATAGGCTAAAAAACAGTTATGGAAAGTAAAAATCAGCAGTACTTGTGTGTTGTAGAATTTTGGAGGTCCCTTTAGCCACACCGTGGTTTTCCGAGTTTAACTGATTGATGGGATCTTTAAAGTCGACCGGTGGCGCACAGCATGAACCCCATTATCCCACTGAAAAGGAGATTCACCATGAAATGCATCAGCAATAGTGTAAAATAACCAGCGAAGTTCTAATTGCAAAGGACCTCTTGGCTTTCATATGCATGAATTGTTGTCCAGGCATAGTTGACAGAGCCCTAAATATTTTGCGGCAGTTTGCTATGGTATCTGCACAGTGAACAAAGTCTTTATGCCAGAAGCTGTCTGCCGGGGTAGACATAACATTGCCGGGGCGAAGAGCCCTTGCAACTGATTCCAAGAAGATGTTAGACAGTTCTTTTGATGTAGGACCTGTGTGGCATTGAGCATAATGCTTTGGGGATCTTCAAGTTGTGTTATTTTGAATATGATGGAAGTTCAATAATGAGAAAAGAGAAAATACCCATGTTTTGGAAAGCATCAAGCATGATGGTATCATATGTGCCTTGAGGAACAGTCTTCATGAACTCAACTCCTGCACGTTTGTTAAAATTAAATAATCAAGCTCCATATAAAACAAGTAACAGAGACTTATCAGCAGACCAAAAAATCAATGTCTTACCATTTGATATGTGTACTTGCACACTGGGATCCTCATATCCCACTGCTACCTCAGGGAGAAAGCACTTATAAACCCGAAACATCATGAAAATCCCACAAGCAAGCTATAGACTATATATAGAGGATGTAACTTTAAATCAAAATTATGAAATATGCCGGCCCCGCCAATAAGGAGGGATAAATATATGAGTTTAGAAGAAACTTAGCTTGCTCATATCCATGGTCATTGTGTCTATTTCACATATGTCGATTTGTTCGACAGACGAATGACTCTCAAGATGCCTCCATCTCGCCCTCCAACAAGCAACACCTGAAGAAAAGACCAGAAATAAGAATGAAGCAAAATTGATCAACTATATGGGTGTTAGTAAACTTAAAAAGTTGGTCTAAAAAATATAATGACCAATATATGAGTTGAAGAAAACATTTCCTGGTAAACAAACTCATCCCTTTCCGTGAGTTTGAAGAAAACCATCCAAGATAGCTACCTTGCCACGGTCTGAGAGGACTATAACCAAAAGATACTACACAAAGATACATGTCACATTAGGAACCAATCTTACAAATACTTGATCTTGTTAAAGAAAAACCTTTAATAATAATTTAAGGGTGGGAGTGGAGGTGGAGGTGGAGGTGGTGATGGAGATGGAGGTGTGATAGTGGTGGTGGTAGCCAATGCCATTTAAAAAAAATTAATGATAGTATCATGAGAATTGAAAAATATAATTCAAGGCTCATCTATTTTCTTTTGAAAACAACTTAGAGACTGTCTTTAAAAGTTGCTGTTAAAAGACTATTACTTTTAAAATAATAATGATATTTTATTTTTACCAAACAACTTAAAACTGCTTAACTTTAAAGTAAAGCAAATTTTTTGCCATAGAAAGCAATCTAAAACGGTGTCTTAGTCCATGTCTTTACAAGTTCGTTTGGCGTGTGAACTGGTTGATTACAATTCGCAAAGCTTTTTAAGAAAAGCAAGTTTTAAAATTTTGTAACCCAAAAGATAACTTTACCCTTTAAATAAAGTCTTATACGACTTTAAGGGCCAAGAGATCCCTAGAAAGGGGTTAAAAGAAAAAACTTTACCTATTGTTGGATACCTGAAACTGAAACATCTTTTGATCTATTCGATAAAAAAAGAAGAAGAAAAAGAGACATCTTTTGATATATGGCCAAATTACATGAAGAAAGAAATTGAGAAATTGAATATATAATTTGGCATTTAGAAATGCAGAGCAAACAACGAATGAACCGAGCAGACAAATGAACCCCACAAAAGCAAATCATGCATAAAGTTCGGAATTACAAATGGAATTGCAAATGGAAATGGAATGGATGGTGGTATAAAAAAAATAATTCTAGTGATCGATAATATCGTCTTCTTCTTGAATATTCACTTGTTGTTTTGTGCCCTCATCATCAGCTGAAATCGTACCAACTCCATTGCTGCCCACTTTACACCCATTATTATTATTATTATTATTCATCCCCTTCTTTGCAAACGAGGGCAAACAAAATGCAGCCAAGTGCACCTGAAATAATATATATGGAGAGAGAGAGAGAGAGAGAGAGAGAGAGAGATTAATTAACTAAAATGAATAGAAATATTATAGTTATAAATTCAAGAGGTCACCTCTGGGTTGTAAAATTTCAAGGGTTCTTTTGCTACCCCATAACTATTGCTGGGGTCTAATGGGTTGACCGGATTTCTGAAGTCAACGAATTGACCCTCTGTGGAGCAAAGCAAGAAGCCAATCACCCCACTGAAATCAATTGAAATAGTAATTAATTAGGAAGTTAATATTTCAAATTTCTATTAATATAATACTACTTAATTAACGAATAAAAAAGTAATTATATATGCATGCATGGCATGCCTTGGATATGCAGGAACAATGGTCCATGCATAATCAACAGAGCCTTTGAATTTCTGGCGACACTTTGCCGTCAGATGTTCAATGTCTAAGGAAGGAAACCATATGCTCTCTGCTTGGATGCACATCACTCCGCCCGGTCGGAGAGCTTTCGCCACCAACTCAAAGAAAGGACCTTCATGAAGCTCATGATCGGGCCCTGCATGCATGCATTGCAGATCATGCATAAATTATTTTGAGTGGTGGTTTCTCCACTTCAATTTTATCCACTTATACTCTATTTTATAACTTAAAAATGAATGTAAGTAGATAAAATTGGAGTGGGGAAATCATTACCCATTATTATACCATATATATATATATATAAACAAGATAAAATCACTCTTAAATAAGCGCTCGAGATCGAGAAAAAACTAGGGAATTAAGGGAAGCATAGCATGTATGTACTTATTGGGTCAAATGCATCGACAATTATCGCATCATATGTTCCTTCTGGTACAGACTTGATAAATGCATTCCCTGGAAATTTAAGTTGATCATGATTAGAAAACATATTTAAAAGGATTGCTTATCAAAGAAACCCAATAATCACAGACTAGTTGTAGCCAACTTGCCATCTTTAACGTGAAGGGTCACACGATGGTCCTCATATCCAATAGCAATACCAGGAAAATATTTCTTGTAGACCTGAAAAATTATTGGATTATACAAAATATTACGCATTCACATTCATTAATTAAAGGCTATAATAAAATAATATGCATTTCCATAATTAAATTTTAGTGAAAAATTGCATATTCTTTTTTTACTCACATCAATCAACATAGTGTCTATTTCGCAAATATCGATTTGTTGGACAGAAGAGTGTCGAGAAATTTCCCTTAAGATACCGCCATCTCCACCCCCAATGAGTAATACCTGATCAAGTACACATAAGTAGGGGGGCAAAATAATTGAAATTAGTTGAGCTTAATTATCTAGCAAAAGTACTTGTAATTTAATATTGTTGTAATGAACTTCACCAGGACATTGATAATTAACATGCGTATGGGAATTATGTCATGAAATGTGTAAGATTGACACTTTTGCTTCTTTCTTTGACATGAGATTTTATGGCACATGTTTAATTAATTACCTTGTTTGGATTTTGAATGGAGCAAAGAGGAAGATGGGTGATCATTTCTTGGTAAGCACACTCATCTTTCTCAGTCAGTTGGAGTGCTCCATCTAGAACAAAAACCTTGCCATATGCTGATGACTGCAAATTAGAAATCAACCATATTTGTAACGTAGGTGACATGTTATATTGCCAAACTGTTAATTTGGGTCATATATTATTCAAACAGAAATGTTAATTTACCTGAAATACCATCATACTTTGGTACTCGGACCTCCCTTGAAATAAGATTTTTTCTACCTTCAAAAAGTGTGCTTGCCCTACAAGACATATTCAAAGAAAGTTAATTTCACACACATCTAATTAAACTACTTAGGCCGGCCTGAAGTAAACAATGAGCCAGCATTTGCTTTCGAACTAAACATTTCTACTTTGTGTGTGTGTTTACATTGAAGTGTAGAACAAAAGAAAGTTAAATCTGGACTGGACTGATTTCACATACAACAAAAAGGTCAGAAAACCTCAAGTCAAATATAATGGAAACCCACCTGGCCATATGGGACAATGCTCAGAAAACCATCCAGGAACCTTAGGATGATCAACAAGATCATCATCATCATCATGATCTGCCGCAGTCTTGAGAGTAAAATTGGCAGTCTTCTTCTCCATGTGACGTCGTTTTGCTCTCAACACCTTTGATTTCTGGTTGGTTGTCAAAAGTGCTCCCTAGCTATCAATCTGTGAGGTGGCTGGCTCAGCTTGGCAAATAAACAAACAACCTGTAGATTTAGTGTTTCTGTGAGGTGGCCAAATATCTGCATATTTATATACTAGCAAAATTCTTTTGCAAGGAAACTTATGTATGACGTGGCTTTATCTCAGTAAAGATGAAAAGCCAATATGAACTCCTAATCTACTTTGAGAAAGTTGTGTAGAAAAGAGCGAAAGTAAAAATAAGTGATTTGGTAGAGTGGAAAAATATTAACCAAATTAGCCCATTGGGCCACGCTTCATTTTAACAACCTGACTTTTCTAGTTTTTAATTGCTTTTTTTTTTAATAACTATTTTAACCTTGTCATCTTCTACTTAACCTTTATTTTATTTTATTTTTATGAACAAAGGTTTAGAGGAGAAGAGGCTACCCATTCCAGGGTTAGGGCATATAAAGACATTTTTGAGGACTTATAGAGGGAATTTTAGCCTTTTTTTTTTGTTTTTACAGATTACCCATCAAGAGGGATTGTTGGTAGTGGGACTCAAACATATGCCTGGATAGCAAAGAGAACAATCTTTACCACCTCAACAAACTCTCCTCGGCGATCTTCTACCTAACATTTTGGTTAACCAAATGGGATCCTTGTCATCTTTACCAACTTATAATAACTCTACTTGTTCCCTCATGCAAGGTCCTGGGATTCGAGTCCTAGTATGCATGTAGTGTGTGTGAATTTAATATATTATCACCCTTCTTAATAGGAAATGTCTTTAAAAAAATAATAATAATAACTCTGCTTGTACAATTTGTGAAATTCAAATACTGATGGCGTTAAATTCTTTCAATTATCTCAATCACTACTTATTATTCTCGTCATCACCTGGATTGTTTTAGTTTCATTTGTCTCGTATAAATATTTGAAAAAACAAAAAACAAAAAAAAAACAAAAAAATCCCAAGTTCCCCAACTCTGATCATAAAAGTTATTTTAAAAAAAGCAGAACATAAAATGGAAAAATAAAAATTTGCCGCGCTTTTCCCGTCAATGGGATAACGGTCATGGGAACCCGAAAGCTCAGCCCTTCCTCTGCTGCTTCTTCTTCTTCTCCCACAAATCCCTCAAATTAATCTCTCCCTGATTGCCAAACCCCAAAAAGACAAAAACGCCCCAAAATGGTTAACACATTCCACCCTTACGCCGCCGCCTCCGCCCGCATCCGCAACTTCTCGACCCCCTTCTCGCTCCGGAAGGAGATCCCCTGGTGGTACCAGATCCAAGACCCGGGATCCGAACGCGTGACCCTCTGGAACCACATCTTCTTCGTCATCTGCATCATGGGCCTCTTCCTCGACCCCATCTACTTCTTCCTCCCCAGCATCGGCGGCTCCTCCTGCATGAAAATCGACATGGGCCTCGGCATCATCGTCACCTTCCTCCGCACCGTCTTCGACTTCTTCTACATCTGCCATGTCACCGTCAAGTTCCGGACTGCTTTCATCGCTCCCGGGTCTCGGGTTTTCGGGCGAGGCCAGCTCGTCATGGACCCCCGGGCAATCGCCCTCCGCTACCTCAAATCCGACTTCTCTATCGACCTCGCCGCCGCCCTTCCTCTCCCACAGGTAACAATAATATTACATATATTTCTCTCTCTATTTTTATTTTAGGTAAAAAGTCACTTTTCGTTTGACGATATTTTCACTCTCGTTCATGTGATTTTAATTATAACAATTTGACCCTTGGAATTTTGGAATTTTGGATGGAATTAGATGAAAATTTTGATGTGTAGAATCAAACTACAATGGTTAAATTAACAAAATTAAAATTACAGGGACTAAACTAGAAAAACCGGCTAACTTCATGGACAAAAAGTGATCTTTTTTTATATATTACTAATTCCTATTATTTATGCAATTACTGTAATTTTGAATTTATTTTTTAAATTATTGTTGCAGATTATGATTTGGTTCATAATTCCAGCAGTGAAAACCCCAACAGCTGCCCATGCTAACCATACCCTTTCTCTGATTGTTCTGCTTCAATATGTTCCTAGATTTATTCAAATTTTCCCGCTGAACCGGCGGATTACTAAAAGTACTGGTGTTGTAGCCAAGACTGCTTGGTCAGGGGCTGCATACAATCTCGTTCTGTTTTGTCTAATTGCACATGTAAGAATCCACCTAGCTGAGTTTTGGCCTTTTTAACTAATTCGTATTGTGTTACGTTGTTAGACTGTTAATTTAAATATCATTGGTTCAGTGAGCTCTGATTCGAATATTGCGTGGAGGGTGCCAAAGTCATAGTCTGACAACGTATGATGCTAGTGCGCGTTGTTTAATTTGATGTGATTGCTATTATCGGTGTTGTTCTTCAGTGCAGATTGTTGGGTCTACGTGGTATGTGTTGTCCATTCGACGGCAATATGAGTGCTGGAAGGGTGAATGCAGCAAGGAAATTAATAAAACACACTCTCCATCCTGTAAAATTTCGTTTCTTGATTGTAGCAGTGAAGGCAACCCCGAACGCGATGCTTGGCTCAAGATCACAAAGGTGGCAGAAAGTTGCGATGCTAATGACGACCAAGATTTTGAGTTTGGAATGTTTGCTGAGGCTTTCACTAACGAGGTTGCTGGTGCAGTGTTTATTGAAAAATACTTCTATTGCCTCTGGTGGGGTATGAGAAATTTATGGTATGCTTTGGTCTCACCTGTTTGTTTAAATTACTTAGCTAAAGCTCATATTAAGCTGTTTGTGCTAATTCGTTTCAACAAGTGATATGCAGTTCATATGGACAAGATATTGAGACAAGCACTTCCGCCAGTGAAACCTCATTATGCATTCTCATTTCCATTCTTGGTCTCGTTCTCTTCTCACATCTCATGAGCCAGATGCAGGTATACATAATTTGCTTTTGCCATGTTTAAAGGCATCTGCAGCATACAGAGACAATTGTCTTCATTCATTAATCTAGTTGTAGTTTTTCCTTTACATAATTGAATTTCTTAATTATTGTAACTCTGTTGGGGAGCATGATGTTGACATAAATTTCTGATGATTTCTTCAAGACCTATCTGCAATCTGCAACGATTAGACTTGAAGAATGGAGGGTTAGAAAAAGAGACACAGAGGAGTGGATGAGGCACCGTCAACTCCCTCCAGAATTGCAAGAACGTGTTCGTCGTTTTGTTCAATATAAGTGGATTGCCACAAGAGGGGTAGATGAGAAAAACATTCTGGAGGCTTTGCCTACGGATCTCCGCCGTCAAATTCAAAGGCATTTGTGTCTTGCCCTTGTCCGCCGTGTAAGTGCTTCAGTCTTAACTACTGATCAGATATCTGGTGACACTTCCTTAAATGCGCAATGCAGCTGAGTTTATAAGTTGGCATCAAATCATGTACTGATTGAAATCCATGAGATTAAAAGGTGGTTGAATTAAAATTCAATTCCAGGTACCCTTTTTCGCACAAATGGATGATCAGCTTCTGGATGCCATATGTGAACGCCTCGAGTCATCCTTGAATACCAGGAACACATACATCATCAGGGAAGGTGATCCTGTGAATGAGATGCTTTTCATCATCAGAGGGCAACTTGAGAGCTCCACAACTGATGGTGGAAGGACAGGGTTCTTCAACTCAATAACCCTCAGAGCCGGTGACTTCTGCGGCGAAGAGTTGCTTACATGGGCCTTGATGCCTACATCAAGCCTCAACCTTCCATGCTCAACTCGAACGGTGAAGTCTCTAACAGAAGTCGAGGCATTTGCACTGAGAGCTGAAGATCTCAAGTATGTTGCGAATCAATTCAAGCGCCTTCACAGCAAGAAACTGCAGCATGCTTTTAGGTACTATTCACACCAGTGGAGAACATGGGGGGCTTGTTTTATGCAAGTTGCTTGGAGGAGGTTTAGGAAGAGAAAGTTGGCAATGGAATTGGCAAAGGAGGAGGAGTATTATTACACACATGTTTTGGACCAAGAAGACCTTGGCAACAGCAATTCAGAATCAAGAATAGGAGGTGGCAGTACAGATTATGAGGGTAGAGGTGCTGAGAGATCATCATCAGTGGGAAATATTCTGCATAATATTCCACTTGGGCCTGCAATTTTGGCATCCAAATTTGCGGCAAACACCAGAAGAGGGATTCAGAAGGTGGCATCAGCACTTCACCACGATGAAAGCAGCTCCACCATGCCCAAAAAACTGTTCAAGCCAGATGAGCCTGATTTTTCAGCAGACACTTGAGCTTATAATGATAATCATAGTCATTTTATTGCAACATTATTATTATTATTATTTTGTATTCTATTCTATGTTGGTTTTTATACGCTCTGTTTTTTATTTTACCATGTGATGTGCCTTCCTGTGCCCCTGCAATAATAACTTTTTATTTTGCATTTAATTTTACCATGGTAAGTTGGAACCAAACTAAAATTGAATTGACCCCAATTTTACATGAGCATGATGAAGCGTGGAGATCAATCCAAAGGATGCAGACCAGATTGATCAACAACCTCAACTTTATACAATCGAATTCGTCAAGCAATAATAAAATATTTGGGCACCAAAGCAAACCTTCATAATCAAAACTCAAAAGCAAGATGATTAATGCACAAAGACCTTACAATGAATGCATGATGAAGTTCACTTAACAATCAAAGCATAATGTATTTCAAACTTGAAGCTTGAAACTTACCAATTCCTAAGGAATGACTTTTTCTGTTTTCGGCGATTCTCAGAAGAAAATAACTAACATGATAGTTTAGAAAATCAAGCAAATGAATTCAATTTCAACTTTATGGTAGTAATAGATTTACATTGAATGCATGAAACTAGCTTGGTGAAAAATAAATTTGGAGGACAATCAATGTGAGTCCAGCAGCTTTGAGTTTGAGGCATTTTAGTTATATCTTATAACTAAATCAGAAGAACAGAATCTGTCCAAAGCTGTACAAA